ATGATACATGACAGTAAGTGATTGTAGTAAAGTATGGAAAGTTTCACGTTTGGAACTGTAAAAATCAATGGCTGATATCACACATCTATCCAGTGTAAAGTCTGGAAAACAGCTTCAGTCCATCGCAGCAGCACAACAGCGACACGTGTAGCTAACTGAACTCTTCTAGGTGGGAAAACGAATGGATATAAACTTTTATAAAAAGCCATATATCCCCCTGCAAATGATTGCCAAATTAATATATGGGATGGTGTAGAACATTACAAGCGTTAAGTGGCCACGAGATTGTTTTAAATTGACGAACTTATGGGGAAGGGAAACACCATTAGACTAGAGCAGTCACTGAACCAGTTCAGTTCCTCTCAGTCAGTGGGTCGGGGACCCATGTCGACACGTCAAAAGAAATATCTTTTATGATTATTGGTGGAGTTCGCGGGGCATTCTTAGACTTCATATTTTTCAGAACGGATGTAACCAGAGGAACAGAAACGTTCACATGGATTTCGGCAAATAAATGAACAAAAACTAGCTCAGAAGGCCCATGTACTGAAAGTTGTAAATAAATAAATATGTACAAAATATGATTTTACTTGATTTTGACCCATGTTATTCGAATGGGCCAAGACTTGAACATTATTCAGTACACCCCGCTTAGAATCCGGTTCAAGGCATATATAGATTTCTGTGTGTTATTCCGTAAATCTAGCAATGAAGGAGGTTTGGAATGCATTGACTCCTAAACAAGGAGTCGTTCTATGTGTGTCTTACAGACTGTCACGCATGACTGACCAGAATATCTGGTCCGTGCAGTAAGAAGACTAAAAGGGACACTAGAAAGACAAAGCGGTAGATGTGAGGTGAAAAAAGAGAGGAAAATTGAGGAAGTTGAGGAGAGAAACAAAAATATAGAGAGAGATGGGAAAGAATGAGAAGTCGAATAAGAAGAAAAGGGAAAAGAAGAAAGATAAGAAAAGAAAGATAACACGAAAATGAAATCAGAAAATGAAAAAGAAGGCAGAAGAGGGAAGTGATTAGTAGACATAATTTTCTAAAATGGAATTATAAGATTTGGGGTTATCACAGCAGTGGTTATGAAAGAGTTCTAATCTAATGAAAGAAAATTGACGTTTCGGAGGAACATGTCACCTTAACTTTCAGAGTCGAAGGATATGCCAACAAGAAACTACTCGTAGTACGAAGCAGGTAACAAGCAGAGCTACTACATGGCATCACGTTCCACAGATAGAACTCCTATTTAAAACTGACTTTTTTTTTTCTGAATCTAAAGGTTACGTAGTTGGTTGAGGCACTATGCTACAAGCCGGAAGGTCTCGGATTCAAGTCCCGATGAGATCATTTTTTTTTCAGTTGACCTAATCCTTCCAGCCGCACTGTGGCCCTGGGGCCGACTCAACCTCTAACAGAGATGAGTACCTGGAATATTCTTGGGGGTAAAGGGCGGCCGGCGCGTAGGGCTGACAACCTTGCCGCCATCTATGAGCCGATTATCTAGAAAATGTGGGAACCTCAACATCTCACAACCCTATGGGCCTCCACGGCCTGTTACAGGGTTAGCTTTACTTTAGTTTCTACTTAAAGGTTAAAAACCAGTGGGGTTATTAAAAGAAGCTTTATTTCGAGATTATATGAGTGTTAGTTCTCTACGATGGTAAAAAAATACTTAATTTGTTCGCCTCCCTTCAAATACTTCAGAACACAGCATTTTAAAATAAAAAAAAAAATCTTTTTAGTTTCTCTCAGCATGAAACTGCAATAAATTGTGCCCACGCATTGGTTTCACACAAGACAGTTGCATATAAGAGCCACACATCAGTCTCATATAAAACTAATATAAATGCGCAAGACATTTGCTACTACATAAAGATAATATGTGATACTGCAAGCAGTAACATAATGAGTAGTGATCTTCCTGAATTTTGGTAATGTGTTGGCCCTTCAACCGAAACACGGCAGAAAAAATAGCTACATTGGCGTCATTTCAGAAACCAAGGTCAGTGGACCATGAAAACACTAGCAGTCTTGAATATACTGGCTACGGGTCTGTATCAAACCCAGGCAAGTTTCTTTCGTCACGCGTCTGAGACAGTTGAAATGTAACCTGCAAGCAGGAGGTTCGTAAATCGTATCTAGAGGAAATTTATTTGAAACTCTTCACCAAGCAGGCTGGTATAGTGGTAACGATCCACTTCTAAACTCGAACATGTTAAAAGTTATCTTGATTGAGGTTATGTATGGTGTTACGCAGTCCAAGTAAAGTCCCAGTCGAAGTATTAACTTGAAATAGGCCACGACTCTTTGTTTCCAAATTCATATATACTCGTCATTTTCAGTTGATTATGTAAAAACCTGGACTATGAACCACATATTAAACACACAGTGTAATTGTAGACGTCACACCTGTAAAAGTAAGTAAAGGTATCCCCGTAACAGACCGTGGAAGCCCATAGGGTTGTGAGATGTTGAGGCTCCCACATTTTCTAGACAATCGGCTCATAGATGGCGGTAAGATTATCAGCCTTACGCGCCGGCCGCCCTTTACCCCCAAGAATATTCCAAGAATATTTCTGGTACTCATTTCTGTTAGAGGCTGAGTGGACACCAGGACCATAGTGCAGCTGGAAGGATTAGGTCAATTGAAAAATCCACCTCATCGGTATTTGATCCCGCGACCTTGCGGCTTGTAGCATAGTGCCTCAACCAACTACGCTACCGCGTGCCTCAGATGGCACACCAGTAGGCCTACATAAAGTTAAAAAAGTAAAATTGTTCCTATGCTTAACTAATTAAGCGCTACGCCATGAAGACGTACGGGGGAATGGATTGATAGATCCACGTATTCTTGACCTTGGTACTAGTTGGAGAGAAGCCATCAGCTTCACTCCCCAACCGCTTTACCCCCGAGGCAAGAACCCCCGGCACCCAGTGGATAGGAGGCTGGGTGGCCCAAGAACCGTTCTTGACGCCCTGGAAAGGAGAAAATTTTTGCACCATACAGGGACTCGAACTCCTACCCCTCGGACCTCCAGCCCATAGCGCAGTCGCTATCCCGACTCCTCCTGTGAACTGCATAGATCTCATAAATTTAGTTCTCTATATTAACCTGCTTTATACATCACTGGCAGAGATGTCAAGATCATGAAGTGGAATTTGGAAAACACAGATGAAGAGGAGACGCTGAATATTAATATCAGTAACGTTTGTTGGTCCGGATAAAAATTCGAATCGTGTACTTACACAATTCAAATCAGTACTAATTTCTACCCACTTACAATTCATACTAGTTTTCCTTCTACTAAAAGTGTAAGATGTGAACGGAGAAGTTCATGGAGGTAGGCCTAGGCCTACTGGGGCTGTAGTGCCAAGGAAAAAAAAGTGTAAGATATGGAACTACAGCTCCTCAGCAACGTGAAGCGTGATTTGTCTGACAGTACTGCTTGTTCACTTCTTTACCAAATGCATGGGCCATAAAGCGTCGGTCGACATGTTAGAGAGAATATTGAAGGAAACGGCTGTAGGTTACTTTCACATTCCCGGACTCTGAGAAGAAGGGCTGAGGAAAATCACTATAAACTCAGTAGAATAAGCCGTAAATCGGCTGGCATGAATCTCCAAAGTTCAAAATAGGAGTGACAATCACTATACAACATACTGATCGGTTTACGTTTGTTATTTTTTACATTAAATGTTGCTTGTCAGTTTACATAACGATGTTTTCTTACATATGCAGATCATACAACGTTGGATGATACGATGATTATATGTGTTTAATAGAAAGAATGTAAAAGACAGCGGTCATGGTCTATTTAAGAAACCATTCAAACATTCACCTGGAAGGACTGATGAGGGTCACCGATTTCCGGCCCAAGACAGAAAACGAGAATTCACGCCTTTGCGATATAATGATGGATGTTAAACGGAAGATGGACATGCAATGGCGTACACTTTAAAAACAACCAAGATGTCCTCCTATTATGACAGACTGAATCTTGACCATTCTCTCGTGACGCTGGTAACCTCAGCGAAAATATATCTTGTTAGAGAGACCGACGCCTTGAGTGAACTGGAGCGATCTAATGTCAGAGATATAAACATTGCAACCGTGACCATTCTTCCTTATATCTGGCTGGAACACGCTATAAACATGTTCAGAAATCTATTAATAACAAAGCGACTAGCGGCTGGTCACCCAGTATTACGACGGATTTTTCAAAATACTGTCCACCTTTGCCAGCCGTATTTAATGAGGAGCTTCATAACTTGTACAATTCTCCGAGTAAAATTAGAATGATCAAGTCAAGGAGGATGAGGTGGGCAGGTCATGTAGCACGATTGGGGAGACGAGGAATGCGTATAGGATATTGGTGGTAAAGCCAGAAGGAAAGAGACTACAGGGAAGACCAAGGGGTAGGTGGGTGGACAATATTAGAATGGATCTTAGAGAGATAGGTGGGATGGTATGGATTGGATAGATCTGGCTCAGGATAGGGACCAGTGGAGGGTTATTGTGAACACGGTAATGAATCTTCGGGTTCCATAAAATGCTGGGAAATTCTTGAGTAGCTGCAGAATTGGCGGCTCCTCCAGAAGAGCTCAGCTCCATGAGTAAGTAAGTAAGTGTATAGACTGTAGTCATATTTTAATTTAATGGCTATAGTTTTTAAATTAAAAATTTAAATTTGCTTGTCTCGTGACTTGTCATATCGTCCACATTACTCGCGAACATAGCGAGTCACACGAGCACGAGTAATGTGGACGCGCCTTAAGATTTTAGTCAGAAAGCCAGAAAGGAAGAGGCCATTTAGGGGAAGGTTTAGATTGGAGGATGATACAAAAATTAGATCTTAGAGAAATTAGCTGTGCCATCAGCTTATTGTCATTTGCAAGAGTTCAAATCGCTGTGTTAATAGGGTAGAGAATTCAGCCAGTCTGCATGACGCACGTACAAAGTATTCTAAACACTTGTTTCAAGTGATACTCACGTAACTCCTGTAAGAAGACATGTCCACACAGTCGTCAACAGTGTCATGGACCTTATCTGTCTCTCATTTTCCAGACAAAACTACATCACATTAATGCCCCAGGATCTTCCGCATAACTCCACAGTCAAATTAAGTTTCTCACTTATCGGTGTACAATATTCTCGTAGGTTTGTGTTTCAAATCTTATAACAGTCTACATTGATGTACCTGCCAAATTCAGAGTAAAAAAATCACATTTTGTTGATGACCTACTGATAACCTATTAAAATTTTTCAAAAACACAATAGTGGTGTTCATATTTTAGTGTTTTCAGTCCCTGGAGATCAAATCGCTTGTGAATATTTTCGCAGATTTGTCACAATATCAAACTGTACTTCACAACAGTTCATGATGAAGATGCACCGGATTTCGTGTAGGTTTATACCCTATAAACCTCACGAAGGAACATTTTCATCCCTCATCACAAGCGACGCACAAAATCACAGGCCACCAAAGTCTGCGCTCGTCTGTACGAAGTGTTACCACTGCATGGACTCCGCCATCCTTCCGTCTCTGTTATCCCGAGCAGAAACGGCAGAGCCGATGTTGTGCAGTGTGTGTTGGAAATTAGCCCACTCCGACCGACGGCAAGCCCAGGGGTAAAGTTTAGGTCGATGCTGTTGGCTAGTAATGCAGAGAGCGCCCATGTAGCCACATGTCCCTATTTTAAGATCTGTTCTCTGCGGCACCGCCATGTGAGATAGCCGGTCGGTGAGACACACGAGTGCCGCTCCTACAGAGGGGTGACCGTTCTCATATCCGGGCCTTTAAACCGGAGCACTAACCCTTGCCAGCGTAGCAACCTCAACTACTTCGTAGGCCTGTTCCCATGTATCTCATTCATCAATGGCTCTACACCGCGCCATAGCTCAAGCGGTTAGTTGCTGGCTTTCCACCGCGGAGGCCCGGGTTCGATCCCGGTCTGGGGAAGTGGGATTTGTGGTAGACAAAATGGCGCTGGTGCAGATTTTTTCCGAGTACTTTGGTTCCCCTGCCAATCTTCATTCCACCAAATTCTCCATCATCATAATCACCCTGGGTAGGTGTAATAGGCCAATTAATGTCCGCCGTGCTGAATGGACTCAGCTGTACTTCACCCCCAAATAAGCCAAAAAATGGCTCTACAGTCCTTTGTTGGGCCCTGGCCTCTTCTTCATTTTTGTAATCTCTTTTACACAGACGGTAGGATTCCCTCAACCGTCGCAAGGACAACATAAACACAGAATAAACGCACACACAAACATTCATGCCTTAATTGAGATTCGAACCCACGATCTCACATTTCGAGCGAGTGAAGGCAGTTCATGTCTTAGAATGCGCGGCCACTGTACTCGACTCCCACACACCTAACAGCATCATTTTCTTGTGATCATTCGAAGTGACAGGATATCTTAAATTCAGTCTTAAAGGAACTGAATTAGCAATTGATGCGGACATGTATGAGATTCATTCGGAATCTCTTATTTTACTATCTCACGTCTGAGAGCGTTAAGTTTTTTTTTTTATTGCTAGTGATGTGGGACTAAGTCCCTTGTACTGCGGCCACTTCTGGCCTATTGTGCCAGCCCGAGATGATAGGTGAGGGTGTTTGTGGAACAACTGGTGGAATGAAGATTGGCAGGGGAAACCGAAGTAATCGGAGAAAACCTGCCTCAGCGCCACTTTGTCCACCATAAATCCCACTTGACGAGACCCGGGATCGAACCCAGGCCGCCGCGGTGGAAAGCCAGCGACTAACAGCTTGAGCTATGGCGCGGTCTGAGTGTTAAGATTAAAATATAACTTTATTTTTACCTGTTGTTTAATATGGGTGTCAATCTTGGTTTATTACGTTAAAGCTAGAACATAGTTTGTTAATTTGTTCGTAAGCCTAATTTTGTTGCTGTCATTTTTAAATGGCGTATTGCCTATTAATCAGCGTTTTCGAATTCCATGTCATTGATTTCTTTATGATGATAGTATCGGAGTATTTCACTATTTCCTTCGCGATATTAGTGAATACTTCTGCTACACAATTACCACAGACTATATAAAAATATAGACATTGCCAATTGGCATGCTTCAGTAGAGTTAAGTGGAGATAAATAAAAGTGAAAACCTGATGCTTTTTTTTACGTCTCAACTCTGCGCGCAAAAGAGACAAATTTTAAACGTGTAACATACCAGCTTGCAAGAATATGTGACTTTGACATTTCCTTTAAATGCACTCATCTCTTCAGTGGCGGAGTCGGGATAGTTCAGTCGGTATAACGACGGGCTACGGGATGGACCGTACAGGTTCGATTACCGTCAAGGCAAATTTCTCTCTCTCGGCAGCGTCCAGGCGAGCTCTGGTGCCCACACAGCCTCCTATACAATGGGTATCGGGGTAGATTTCTCAGGAGGTAAGGCGGCCAGAGGGTGAAGATGACAATTGACCTCCATCTAGTACCGAGGTCAATAATGGTGGAGCTATACGTCCACTCCCTCATACGTCTTCATAGCGTGGTGCTTAATTGATCACGCACAGGGAAATTTTACCTTTACCTTCACTACCTGCTGAGTGGATTTCCGACTCCAGCAAGAAATAAGCATAGAACCAAGGCTATATTCGATTATCAGAGTTACAAGCAGACATATAATTTTAAATCATAAAGCCTACAGTACCACCGTCTTCATTGTTACAGCCCATCAAGAAATCAACCATATAATGAAAACATTGAACACAGAATATAATATGTATGTCACATGAGAAAAATTAAAGCGGAAAATAATTGTCTAGGTTTATCTCTAAGTAAACTTAACACAACAGGATTAGATAAATATATGCATAAAGCCAGCTGAAATTTTACAGGAAATCTCTTGCAGACTGGCCGGTGTTCAACCTGACTCACGAGAGAACACCTCACAACTGATACTGCTCTGGGCATTCCCAAGCCGTCAAGGGACGGTGGCGCTACTTAAAAATAAATTTACATACTGCTATCCCATGACTTTTGGCACTTGAGTGTATAACTGCTTGGTTAGTCTCCACAGGTTTCACTGTGGTACATTCTTATACAGTGCGCTACGATGTACACTGAGCGGTGTTCTAAGAAAGGGAACATAACAGGAAAAACATGTACACTAAATGAAGCTGCCGTCTAGAACTAAGACAGACGCCCCAGTACCGACTCAAGCATACATTTTACTGCCGCTTGCTATTACAATATTCTGATCCTATTCGTGACTACTATAAACTCTAATTGCTAACATACATAACGACAGAATAGTAAACGTTACAAGTTAGGTTTCAAATATTCTAACGCAAAAGCAAACATCGAGGAAGGCGAAGGTAAAAAGGTAAAGTTGTCCCTGTGCTTAACTAATTAAGCACTACGCCATGAAAATGTATGGGGGAGTGGATGTATAGTTCCATGTTTTCTTGACCTCGGAACTAGTTGGAGGTGAGTAATATCGGAAAAAATTGTATTAAACATATTATTTTGGCATACTTAAGATAATTCCCATAAAAATCAAAGACATCCAATCAAAAAAAAAGTCATAACTATTCTACTAGAATTTAATGTAATAATCTCCCACTCAATAAAATAAACCAAGTCATTCAACACGAAATAAAGCCCACCAACAAATAAAAATACACCAGCACAAAACAGAAAAACAAAACTAATAAAGCAAATAGATAAATAAAACATAAGCCTAAGGCAACATCACACCATGACATCCAAAAGCTTCTACTCTGAGCTGTTCTGAAATACGACGAGAGAACGATTTCAGTTTTTCGGACCCCTGGTCCACGCGAGTAACAACTTCGCAGTCAAGAAGCTTAGCTTTTGTCTGTCTCCCATCCGCAGCCACCTTTTGTTCATCACGTAACACGAAATGTATGTGAACTGCAAACACAAAGAGACCGGATACTGGGCCTGAGCATTCAGAAGCAATAGGACCCGAGGCTTTTCTGCCACGGGCGAACAGTTAGACTGATGTAAGAGGTCCATGCAATACAATTGTCACTATAATTTGAAAGAAACGAAGCAAATAAAAATTAGAGGAAATGAAGAAAGCAGTCTTCTGGGATTTGGCACCGTGTATAAGTG